CCGTAGCACTTAGGCTCTGCAGTCCAATCAGTCAGACTGCTGACATTCCAGGTGACAGACTGGACATCTGCTTTCATGCCTGTAGACCCAACTGTAGCCTCCCAGCCTATTCCTCTGGCTGTCTGTGTTGTAGTGCAGTTCGCTGTCACTGGGTCCCCATATCTCACCACAACTCTCTGAGGGCTGATCTCAAGCGGACAGTCTGGAACAGCTCCTGCAAAACAAAAAGACCTTTAGTTTTAACCACAATGAGCCATTGGCAGCTCAGTAAGAGAGTTGGTACTGCTGACTTAGCAGGACCAGCATGTGGCACTCTTCCCTGAGGCCCAGAATCTCCAAAGCATTGCCCCAGTATGGTGACCAGGGACACTGCAGTGGGAGGTGCCATTCTTTGGATGAATACATTTATTTTTTCCTCCTCATTCTCTCGTCTCCTCCTGGTCTCCTCAGTACAGAGGCAGGATGAAGGTTGGAGTGGTTCCTACACTACTCTACACAGTGTGGGATACCTCGAAATGTGCAATATAAGTGCAACTAGTAATTACCAATTGTGAAATAGAAGGCTATAGGGTCAGATCAAAAATAGTTTACTTTGCAGGCTGCTTAAATTTAACCAATGAAACCCAAAAATCTGTATTTATTTTTTTTAGTTTAATTTTACATGGTCCGACTGACTCATGGCAGAATAGAGGTGAACCAGGAGTCACAAAGAAGGCTGGGCTGTATTGCCTCGCAGACAAGAAATTACAGCCACAAAGCGAAGGTATCCAACCCAGAAATAACAAACGATATCGCACATTTAAGACACAATCACCACGTCTGGCCCAGTATACACCTGAAGGCTCACAGCTCAAAGTTAAAAGTGGACCGAATAAATTTCATAACACAATCCGTTCACAACTGCTCTGTGTCTGTACGTGGACAGGGGACACTGACATACCTTTCACAACACACTTAAGGAAAGACAGCTCTTTTTAAGGACCTAAAGTGAAAGCGAAAAAATGTGCTACACAAACTCAGCCTGGAGCTTCACTTACCACAGCCACTAGAGAAGAGGACGAAAAGGCCCAGGAAGGCGACAGTCATTCTGGAATTGTTTTCTCTTTGTTTTATTAATTATGAGTTCAAGAAAGGAAAAACAGCTTTGGCTTCAGGGAGGAATACATTCGAGTGTAGAATGTGGGCCTTGAATATGTAGCTTCCGTTTTAAAACAAGCACCAACGAAAGAACAGAGAATTGTGGGAGTGGAAAACGTTGTGTGAAAGGAAGTTATACTGTGGGTTTTTTTAGTTTATTTTGTGGCGCTTGAAAATGAAAATGAAAGCTCTACGGCTGTTTTTCTGTGAATTTGAGAAACGTGGCTGCAATGTTCTTCATCAATCACACCCTAGCTAGCATCTGCTTTGGTTTTACGGTTACTTTAAGATAATGGGGGGGTGAAACGTGCTCTGAAGAGATGATCTGCATTCAAGTGCTGTCAAAACTGAAATCATTTTCTCTTTGAATTTTCAAGGACAAGATCCCTTACAGTCAACGTTGTATTTTTTCTCCTCTCATGCCACCTAAAATTAACTAAATACATTTTTTGTCACTGAACAAATTAGGTAGAGGTCACATACTTTATTTAAGAAAACAATAACATTTCAGTTAGACGATCTCTCTTTTATTTTGTTTTTTTTGTAAGTTGAAGTTGAAGCTTGACATTCAGGAACGCTTGAATTCTAATTTTCTCCAGTAAACCGGAAACCACACTGTGTCACTCTGGCCTCTGACGGTAGAGTTGCTGGGCAGCGGGGGGGGAGGCCAGAGAAATGACAGAAAGCAGTCTGTTAATCTGCATCACAGTGCCCCTTATAGAAACATGGGTTCAGTAGCCCCTCTGTTGTCAATTAAACAATTAAACAGTTGACCTAACCATTTTCTTAGTTACACATACTGTACTGTATAGAGAGGTTACTGTATATTTAAGATCTTTTGCAGTAGATTTCCCACACCACTCATTTTATTAATGTAACACTTCCCTGTAAAACACTTGGAGCCTGGTTAGAAGCATTATTATTTCATTAATTAGACCAGCTATGTAACAGAGCACTGTTGCTACAAATCCCAGATGATGCTGGGCATTCAGGAATGAAGTCTGATACCCCTGTGATTAAATTATATGTGAATCTTCTACTAATTGTTTAAGCTGCCTACACAGCGCCCAGCCCAGCTGTATTTACCCCACTCAGAGTAACTGTATCATCGTTTTTTCACCATGCTCAAACAGATGCACTGGAGCATGTAGCACTGCTCCTGCTCTTATAAATATTTATCGTGGTATTACTGTGGTAAAAGCAGAGCACAATGCAGTAAAATGCGCTGGCCTCATGAGAAAACACAGCCAAATGCAGTAAATCTCAGTAAAATCACAATAAAAGCACAGAAAAGTGCCGTAAAGCTCGTGAGATGTCACATTGTTTCTCCATCTTTCTAATCGAGCTGAAATATACTCATTTCTGAGCGAGAGAAACTTTTTAATGAAATTTCAAACGCATGAAATCGATTTTGAATATGGAAGAGATTAAATTGTAACAGGATGAAAGATGTTTCTGGATGCCAGTGGAGGGCGGGTCTCCTGCCAGTCACACTACATTAGGTCATCCCCCCAGTGAAGCCACCCCACCGGCCCCAGCCACAAGCAGGTCTGTCCGATTCTTGCTTCCTGTAACGGGCATCTTTATTGAGAAGCCAGCGACTTCCCTTTCCCCAGATCTCTGTTCCCTCTCCGTAACCAGCCAAGGAAGAGTCCCGGAGATAAATAAGAAAGGGAGCCGAGCCATCCGCCAGCTCACTAATCCTAGCTCTGTTTCACCTCTTCCATTGTCCCTGGTTCTTCTTCTTCTTCTTCCTTTGTCATCCTCCTCATGCGGCAGCCTGGGCTCAGGAGGATGGGCTGGGCTAAGGGTGCCGCATGCGCGGGAAAGTGCACTGCTGCACTCTGGGAAATGCAGGACTGGTTCTCTGGCAGTGGAGCAGTTCTGCAGGGAAAGGCCAGTCCCGGTGACGGAAGGAAATAGGAAATTCCAGCCCAGTTTTCAGCAATAGACCTCAGGCAGCTCACTGGAGATTTAATCCATGACGAAGCCGCCATCCCAGAGGCCCTCTGGGTGAGGCTGCCTTTGGATGGAGAGAAATCCCACAAAGGGCTTGGTTTCTGATGATCCGTTTTGTACCTTTCTTTTCCCCCCTTTGGGTTCTGAGCCTTCTCTGGCTCAACTACATCTCTTACACAGTAAGCAAATAGTAAAAAATATTATTGCGACTAGAACGAGGAGCAACACCGCTGTCACTGTCCCAATAAGTATCGGATCGAAGGAGCTGTGATCTGCCAAAAGAACAATAAATCAGGCAAAAATGCTATTAAAATAAAATGTGCATTTGATGCTGTTTGTTTTGTGGGGGTAATCCTGAACCTATATGTGCTGCATGTGTGAGGAGTGTGACACATCTCAGAGCTGTGGTTCCCCCTATGCCAAAGGGTCAGGCCTCCTGTGCTGGGAGAACTGGCACTTGGCCAGGCTCCAGGGGGTGCCATCCCATTCTGGGGTGTAACAGGTTCAAGAGCAAAATGAGTCCTGATAAAGATGCTGCTAGTGCTGAAAATTCTGTGGTTCCAGAAATTAACAGTCTAAAATAAATGTTGCTAAAAGCGTACGTGCCTGCAGTCAGTGACATTATACTTTAATGTTGCAGCCTTTCAGACTGTGGTGAAACGTCCAATAGAGGAACAACTAGAGGTTGATTCCATGCTGAAAACTAAAAAGAAAGATGAAAATAATGTCTCGGTTGCAGTGTCTCTTGAGCTGTGCGAATTAACCTCTACTTGTTCCTTTCCAGCCAACACACTGGCACAACTCCCCACTCTCACTGAGGACCCATCACTCACTTGCCCCTGAATTAAAACATGGCCTTTCAGGTCTGCCACTGACATGCGAACTTTCTGGCATTTATCATTTGCCATTACCTTCCTCGTCCTCCCTCACGGTCAGTGTGAAGGTCCTGGTCGTGTCTCCGAGGTAGTTCCTGGCCGTGCAGGTGTACTGGCCACTGTTTTCAGGTGTGGCTGCAGTGATGTTGACCACAGACCATCCTCCTGTGCTGCTGTCCTGTACGTTAGGAGCTTCCAGGTACCTCCAGTGGTATTGAGGAAGTGGGCTCCCTTCAGCGCTGCAGTTCAAGACCACTGATCCTCCAGCCGCAAGGGAAAGACTTTCAGTAGACTGGACAAACTGAGGCTTGTCTGCAGAAAAACAAGAATGATATATTCAGTATTAAGTGTATTTTAATTACATTGCATGAAATCAAAAGCATTTTCAGCATTTTCAATTACATTTTCAGAAACAGTTTTATTATGTTTGCTTGTAGATATATTGTATTTTATCATGTATTCTTGAAAGCCAGCCTCAATACAGGCTTTAGCCAATACAGTAACAATAATACTGAATGTTAAATAAGAGATATATGAGTGTAGCCCCATGTTCAGAGCCTGGTGGTCTACTCAAAGACTTAAGAGCAAAGTGTGATTTCAGTTCACACACCCCATTGTCCTCCTCAGCAATAACTGCACGGAACAGGAAATCATAAGCTGCATTACTCATAAGAGTATTTTTGCCTTACTGTAAATACCTTACACCCAATTTCAAGAAAAGTTTTTCAATTACCTCTTTTACCTCTTAAAACAACCTTATACATATTTTATTTTAGCTTATACATATTTAACAACAGTAATATGTACGTCCTGACTTTTAGATATTGTGGGAAAACTTACATCTAATTTCTACCGTCACAGTGTGGCTCGCAGTTCCCTGTGTGTTAGTAGCTTCATAAGTGAACTGTCCTCCATCAGTCCTGGTCAGCTTGACAGAGGGGTCAATCTGCTGTTCATCCTTGACCCATCTGGTCTCAGGGGGAGGGCTGCCCTCAGCTGTACAGGTCACACTGCTCTGCAGATTGTGGTGCTCCTCCACATCAACACTGAGAGGACACCCTGTGATCTCAGCGCCATCTGTGGGTTGAGAACACAGCTTTTTGAGACATTTCAAATCAGTGAAGCGCTTCTCTCCCTGTCCTTAATTCTGCACTTCTCTGGACTGTCGCCTGCCTCCAGCTGTCTGATTGACTGATTCATCTGTAAGAAATTTCTGCCTCCTTCTCAGGGCTCAGGGAACCAGCCCATAAAGGCCATCAGCTCCAGCTGAGTCAACAACATCTCTTTTGTTCCATCTCGTCTCCACTCAAGCCTTTAAATTAGGACAGTATCTCAGTTTCTGTTTTCTTCCTTTGATTTACGAAAGCATGAATATAAAAAAGTATGGTTTCTTTGTGTCTAGGCAGGGAACATTTACAGTCGGCCACACTTGATTTAGAATTTAAGAAGCAACGTACAGATCACAGTAACGTCCACATCCTGTGTCACTTTTCCGTATCTATTTTCAGCTTCAAATGTGAAGAGTCCAGTATCTCTCCTGGACAGGGGCTCATCGGGCTCAAGCTCTTGGCCCTCTATCAACCACTGGGTGTCAGGGGGAGGGTTTCCCACAGCTGTACAGGGGACACTGCTCTCGAGACTCTGACCCTCTTTCACAGTGGCGCTGGGAGGACAAGTGATCACAGGACCATCTGTGGATTGAGGATATAGGACACAGTTGTTACGATACAAGGAGGAAAATCCAGTGTTCCAACAGAAATCAATTTGACGCTGGAGTGCCAGTCAATCTGTACAGACCATTAATTAATTAATAAACACATTGCAAACTGCACAGTCTCACCCTCCGCCTGAAATGTTGAAGAAGGAGATCATGACAGATACAGAGATAATAAGAGTCTGAACAGAAAATCTCCAAAACTTTATCGCTAGACTGCAGCAGTGTAATGGGCAGATTTTGTTGCTTGGGTTATATCGAAAAGATCCTTAACTTTACGGTTTCGCCATTGCTGGGTTTAAAGAAAAGCGTGAAAGAGGTGTTGTCACACTTGCTACCCATCCTGGGTGTTAGATGAAATCTGGACTTCTGTAGAAGTGAAACCACACATATGATCATTGTTACTTCAGGACACTAGTCACTTACAAACTTGGAAGTATTATGTGTATCCAATAGACATGTCAAAATCATTTTTAGGGGCTATTTCGCAAGGAACTTCAAAATCGCTGTCCAGTTAATGTGACTGAATACAAGTGAATCATTCAGAGATGTAATTAACAGATATTACCAGCAGAGATATTACCGACTAGCAACTTGCACAACTGCCTTGACACCAGGAGGCCAGAGTAATATAAAAACTGCAGTTTTACTCCTGCTACCAATTGAACTCCCACCCTTGCTACGCAGCTATGCAGAGACTGAGATAAAGCACAGGAAACAGCATGTACAGTAGGACTGTATAAACCTACACAGTCCAATAGACCTCAAGGCTTTCAGAGTGATGAGGAGAGGATCAGACTGCTTTGCAGGAGGGGGCTGTGGTCCTTCTGGTCCCAGGTTGAGCTCTGCCTCACAGGTGAGCTGCTGTCCATTGTCAGCTCTGTCAGGGGTGAACAGGAGGGCCGCAGACACATTCACAGGTGTTCTAGTAGTGTTGTGAGAAAAGGTCTGACTGTGAATCAGTGTCTGTCCTCTGTACCAGTTCACAGTGAGGTACTGAACAGGAACGATGTTCTGGACCTCACACTGCAGCTGGTACTGTCTCCCCTCCACCATCTGGACCACTGGACTCCCAGAGTTGATGGACACACTGTCTGGGTACTCTGCAAAGATAGTAAAAAATAGATTGTTTTTAAAGAAAATGATGCGGAAAATGATGCACATTTAGTTTCCAACTTTTGCACTTTCCAACATTTTAAAGGCCACTCTTAACAGATCCTACACATCAGATCGCTGCAAACGACACGCACGGATGTCAAGAGTGCATATAGTCTGCACTGCCGCAGGGCCAGCTAAGGTTATCAGAGGACATCTATGCCCAACTAACTGAGCATTCACTGAAAGTTTTACTGTAATTTTGCGATACTAAAACTGTATTAGCAAAATATTCCAGACTGAAATAAGACCTATACAGGGGTAGGTAATATGACCAGAGGTTCCGCACTTTTATTTCACTGTGAGTGTGTTTTGTGCCTCCAGCTGTATTTGCTGTATCTGTATCTCTTCCGTGTGGCTACACGACAACAAAAGAAACGTGCGACGCCGGGCTGGGCCACACGGGGGCACCAAACCCTGTCTGGAGCTTTACTCCGGAAATGCATTTTTGCAATACGTCCAGTATGAAAGGTTCTCGCAAAACAGTAAGGCGAACCGAGTTAATATTTAACGTTAACTTCTGATTCAAAGACATGGCCAGCAAACAACCAGAACGCTGTTCCTTCTCAATCGTTCATTTACCGCTTTAACTGCTTAAATCAGAACCCTAGCGTGATAGCTGGAATGGTCATCTGAAGAGAAAACCAACTTAATGCGACATTTATGGTGCGTTTTTAATGAGATGGTGGTTTAACACTTTGTGTTTGTGAGGAAAGGAAATGAAAGTGACTCACTGTGCAGTGAGTACATGAATTAGAAAACTCTACTCACTGTATAGCCTGATGTTGAGATTCTTCCTGCACTGCCTGGGCTCAGTGTTGAAGTTTCCGAAGCACTTAGGCTCTGCAGTCCAATGAGTCAGACTGCTGACATTCCAGATGACAGACTGGACATCCTTTCTCATGCCTGTAGACCCAACTGGAGCCTCCCAGCCCATTCCTCTGGGTGTCTGTGTTGCAGTGCAGTTCACTGTCACTGGGTCCCCATATCTCACCACAGCTCTCTGAGGGCTGATCTCAAGCGGACACTCTGGGACAGCTCCTGCAGTAGAAACTACATTCTTTTAGAGACCAGTACCCCCATAAAAGATAAACCAGACTGTTTTGAAGAGCCTCATGATCTCACAGCACAAAGCACACCAGGACAAGCTGGTTGAAAATGCATGAGAATGTTATTCTCTTCATGCTTTTTTTTTATTTTGCAGTGTTCTGCTTAGTGTGCTGTTAGCTTTGTCATTTAACATTCCTAATTAGTTCCAAGTAAATAAGAAGAAAATACTTCTGCAATGGTCTTTAGCAAGACGAGGGATAAGAGTGTGGGGAAGCATCTCAGTGCTGCACAGGCTCCCTGGCACCTGCAGAGCCTTGTGTGACACTATTTCCCTCCAATCCACATGGCCTCCATCAGACCGGGAAAAACTGCTCAGAATCTCAAAGGTGTCAAGTCCTGTTAGTCCTGTTACCCTAAAATTCTTTTCTGGAATTTTTACATCAACATCGGGAAGACAACAACCTCTGTAAATGTATAATCAAATCTTTATTGCTCACACAAATGATCTCTGCATTTAGAAGGCCTTTTTCTTTCACGTGGAACCTTCTAATACTTGGATACGAGGTAAAACAAGCTCCTCCTGTATCACTGCGTTGCCTCTAATTACTAAATTGTGTAATAAAACTTATCCATTAACATTTATAGACTTGAATAGGTGCTCACTGGAGCAAACAGGGTGAAACATGTTGCAAGAGTCTCATCTGGGACTTGAACCCACAGCCATCCAGTTACAAGTCCTGAGCCCCGCTCACTACCCTACTGCTCCTCTACAAAGTTTTACCACTTTGGTTCCTAATGGAGAAGATAACATGGCTTCTGTAAATACCATGTACTTACTTGAACTACACAGCCAATAACAAAGCACTGGCAGCCTAGTATGAACCATCCATTCATCACCAGAAAGCTGCTTATTCCAGGTAAAGGTCACAGAACCTACCTTGGAAACAGCGCAAGACAGGACAGCACCCTGGAGGGGACAACACTAACTCACAGGGTACACACAGACACACAGGGACAGTAGAGACACCAACGACACTTCAGACCAGTTCTGGTCTTCGGGAGCTTGCAGCATTTCGAGAAATCCCACACGCACACAGGACAACAGACAGATTCCTCATGGGTGGGGCCAGAATCGAACCAAGGACCGAGACATGCAATGCCAATAGCATTGGTATCCCCAGTTTTGAAGGTTGCATCTCCTCGCTGTTTTGTGTCCTTGCAGGAGCTGCTGGTACTTTCTTTCACGGTGAACCTAAACATGTACTTACCACAGCCAGAGAGAGACAGCATGACGATACCCCAAATCCAGCAAGCATGACCCCTCATTTCTGTCGTTATGTCCGCAGTTTTTTTGTCTTCATTAGTTGAAAAAATTATTTGCCGAACAAAGTCGATTGTTTTCAGGAGAAGCGTATGATTTGTATTTAAGTAATTTTAATTCTCAAGTAATTTCAATAGTTCCAGTTTGCACCTCGAACCTGGGTGAGCCTCTAAGCCCGCTGTCAGTTTCTAAAGGAATGTACATCGAAGAGACTTTATTTTATCTCACAGATAAAACCGGAAATAAGTCATAAAGGCAAGTGCTATTTTAGGAGCCAGCATCCAACGCATGAATAAACAGTGTGGTATCAGCACAAAAACACAAGTTTCCAGTAGGAAATGACCCCTGAGGGATTTGTAACTTCTACTTTCTAGAGAAATGATCAGAAAGAGGTTCCTTCACTCCTTGAAAACCAAACCCTCACACAATGATTTCTACTGCTTCTTGCTCCTGGGCAAAATCTATTTATCCTCTTCTATTTCCGAATAAAGATGCCCAAAACATATTGCAGTGTGTGTGCTGGGGAGGTGTGCTAGTTCACACCCATGGATTTCTGTAATAAGTGTAAAAAGTGGGAAGTGAAATTAAGCGTGAAATCTTTCCAGTGTAGGAACGGAAATCCTAAACTTTCATTTCTCTTTAATGATGGATACTTATATTAATACAGTTTGAATATGGTTGTCTTTATCAAAACTGAGTCTACAACGTGCTTCTTGCCTGGTTTGTGTTTTGCCTCTACTACAAAGTAGGCTGAAATGATTAATATCTCAATTATTTAATGTTAACTTGTATGGCTCTGTCTCAGAGTGCTGTAACTTTAGGCATGGGATGTAAAAACACGATTTCTTAGCCAAGACTACATTTCATTCTTTTCTTTCTCAAGATTGTATTTGGACTTTGACTTTAAAATACTTCAGGCTCACGGTTCCAAACACGGTTAAAATGAGTCTGGAAAATCTGATTAAGCGCTGAAAAGACCAATTCGTAAATTCCAGCTACTGTGAATTGCAATGTTATTTCCTGGAACGCTGTGTGCTACGCAGGCCTGCAAATTTCAGAACAGGGGGGTTACCACATGGAAGACAAGCTTCAAAACCTCAAGCTTCGCCAAGTCCAATCTACACAAACCTGCACCACAGAATCATGGACTCTTTATCATTCTTTACCCACCACCTGGATTTCAGGCCTTGACTCAATCACCTACCTGTTCAAGAAAGCGGGAGGTGCCCCCTTGCTCCTCCAACGAGCCAAACAGCTGAGCCATTCGCTATTTGACGTGCAGGGACCTGCAGAGCACCTGCAAGGGTAGTTGGCATGACGGGCGCAGCTCTGTTCGGGGCCTCCGCTATGCCACCTGACTGACTGGGTTTCCTTCCACTGCAAGAGCTCCAGCCAGTCAGGGTATCTAATAATAATAATTGCTTACACTTATATACTGCTTTTCTGGACACTCCACTCAAAATGCTTTACAGGTAATGGGG